CTCTTGTCACCATCCCCTGCTTTTGCTAATCTGCCTTAATTTATCAGTGAAAGAGGGTATGAATTTGATCAACAGGATGGAGCTGTAAGGAATTTAGGCTGTCTTGTCAAAAGAGAGACTCAAGCCCAATATGGCTTTAAACACAGCTGAAATGGCAAATTGTAGTAGTCAGAACACTGAACCTACATGTGAGCAGCCTGCTCAGGACTTTGTGATCAGCAGAAACTGGGTGTGCTGAGCACACTACACACACATACACAACTACCAATATACATACAGAACTCTTCCAGCATCTTCTGATTCTACAGACACTGCCACAGATGGCATATCCAATATCCAGATAGTTTCCGTATCTGTGAGGTAAATATCCACTCTCCTGTCTAAGTCTTCTTTTGTCAGTTCTTCTTTTATCTCCTCTTGCCTCACCCGCACACCTGAAAAATTGTATGAGGTTAACAAGCAAGTCCTTTTCTGCTCTAAATTTAAAAGAAGAGAAATTAATTCTTTAAGTATTGTAATGATCAGGAACCAAAATTTGTGAGGCACTGAGTTCCTTTGAAGTGCTGGGCATCTCACATCCACTATCCGCAATGTCTCACAAATCACAGTGCTCCAAATAACAGTTTAAATCTGTAATTATACAGTGTGTGTTCTTTACCAGATAAGCTGACAGTTGTGTCTCGTCGAGAGCCAGGTTCTACTGTTTCATCTACTATGGACTCAGTTGTTGATGCGTTTGATATAGAAGTATTGCTGCTTCCATATGGCCTTCCGTAACAAAGAAATAAGCAGAAATAGTCTGTGAGAATCCAGATGTCAGTTAGCAAAGCACTACAAAAATAGCAGTGTTGTTATCAGGATAAACCACAGAAGACTGTAAGAGCACATACAGTGATGCTTGCATTGTAAAAGAAGTCATAGAAGGCTTAGGAGAGAAAATAATGAAATGGTTTGAAAAAGACTTAAAATGGAAGAATTCCTCTGACAGCATATCACGAGGCATTGAATAACTGATGGAAAAGAAGCTATTGAGCTCTCAGATTCATTCTTAGCATATAATAACACAAAGTGTTGGCTACCTACTGTGTGTTAACACATACCCACAGATAGCACTGTTCTCAACCAGAATTTAGATCCTTTGGTGCTTTGCATGTGCTGAAATGTCTACAAAATGCACAAGAAACGCATTTGAAAGGATTAGCTTGTTAAAAAAACAGGTAATGTTCATAGACGGGATAGCTGTGATAAGTAGAACTCAAAACTTAGATACAGTTGGGGGGTTTGTCAGCAGATTTTCTCTTCCTCAAAAGCTAAGTGTGAGCAGTTATAAATATACCAAAGGCATTTGAAAAAGACAATTTTAAAGATTTTTATTTAGAACTAAAGTTAAATAATTTCATTTTGTCTTTTAAATGAAGAGCTCTTGTCTCCAAAAAGGATGCATTTATTTTTCAGGAGATACAAAGTATTTTTAAGTCTTTTTTTTGTGTGTGTATATATTTGCTCCTGGTTAATATCCCTACCTCTGGGATTATCCTTTATAATAGCCAGCCTAGGAAACACAACAAAAAGATAGTTCTCGAAGAGAAACCTCTTCTCAGAAATCACAATGGCATTAACTTTGCCAAAGAAAACAGTAAATAATGCTTTTCTTTAACTTGTATTTTTTTCCAGTGCTGACTTTACTAGTCTTTTAGTCCCTTTGACTAAATAAATAGCATTTCTTCTTCATACAAATTGAATGTGCACACACCATTTGATAAAGTGATGTGGTTCATTATTTTTCATTTGAAACACAAATAGTTATTTACCTTCTTTTGCATGACTTAATTGAATTTGTCAGCCCAAAGATAAAATGGCTCAGGTCCATTGACTTTGTTTATTCCCTCTGTACCCAAGGTTTGTAAATGAAAGCTAGTAAGTAGTGAAACATGTAATTTAGCAGTTTTAACTCAAACATTTTTGTATAAGAACATTTTTTGAAATGGATGCACATAATCACACAGAGGTAACTTGCTTAAATTAGTTTAAAAGAGAGGACTCTTACTATGTTAACAATATTTGGATACTTGAACTAAAAGAGTCAAGTTTGTAAAAAGGGTTGTCCATACTTAACAAGTATCATTAAAACAGACAAAATACTTTAAAATAAATTTGTAACTCTTCAGTGCAACCAGGCCTTTTGTTTCTAAAAGCATTTTTCCATACCCGCAGGTAGGCATGTATTGATATATCCCAGTTTTCAAAAAAACAAGGTTAGGGAAGGCAGAAAGCATCTGAAGTAGCCAAAGCGAGTATATCAATGAACTGCAAATGCCCCTTCTCAGCTGTACAACCTTGCTCAGGCAACCAGAACACAACCTCCTCTGCCTTTAAGACAGTGTTTTATCACCTCTGTGTATAGGTTTTATGGAGGCCTAACCACCACAAAACCTGCAGTTTGGATGTCTGTGCTGTTGGACTGTGAGGTACTCATCACCATCTCTAAAAATGGTCCGCTCTGGGATGTTACATAAAAAATTGTGTTCTAGGAAGGAGAAATTCAATAAAATTAAAAATATCACAGCAGTGTCTGCTTTCAGCTGTACATATTAGCATTTCGGCAGTAGTTCTGACACAGTCAGTCACAAGTACCGACAAATTCCATTTATTCTATTAGTTACTATTCCTCAAATTTTAAATGATGTCTATGGCCAGCAAATCTCCATGTTTTGACAATACAGTGTAATTATTAGACCTGCACAATTATTCCAGCTCCCAACCTCTCTGAAGAGCAGATGTGTGGCCGCTTCAGGGTAGGAACCCCGTGAGACAGGATTTAAGAGACAGCATATTGACTTACCTTGAGAATGAACCTAAACTAGCATTCTCTCCTGATGTCTGATGCATGGAAAAAGAAGAGAGAAAACCAGATCCTGTAGCCCCAAAGTAAGCACTCGATGCTAAGAGCTTGCCCTGTCTGGGTACAACAGCTTTTGCATCTGAATGGAAGAGTGGATGGGGTGTCACATCCTTTCCTTCATCATCAAAAACCTGAAGAAATATTTAAATAATGAAAATAGTTTCACTGTGTTCCTAAAACAAGCGACAGTGATGACACTTGCATCATTTTATCTCATCTGGAACAAAAAGAAGACCCCGATCCAGGCAAGAACCTGACAGAACGGATAGGTAACCCCTCTCTGCAAATGATGCCTAATACACACCAGGACAGGGGTGAGGAGGGTTGCAATCCTGCTTTCCCTTTTAGGGTCGAGCCTTGAGAAGGCTGTTGCCTTTGCCTGGGACTTCGTTGGAACCCTCTTCATAGAAATGGCTGCAAATTATGTGGTAGAACTGTTTGTCTCACTATCAGAGCCACTTCTCCCTCTTGGTCAACCTTGTTGTCTTTTCTGGTTTATTTATTCTATAATGACTACCAAGAGTGGCTTATTGACTGTAAGTATTCATGTCAAATTAACAGTACAGCAAAAGCAATGTGAGAAAAATTATGCATTTTTTTTAATTATTATTATACTGCTCAAAATATTTTATTGTAAGAAGGTATCCAGTGAGGTCTTTAAACAACTCGCAGATTATGTTATGGGAAGCTTCTTGGAGTGCTGCATCTCTGGAGCCCCCAACATAGGAAAGACATGGACCTGTTGGAGTGGAGCCAGAGGAGGGCCAGAAAGATGCTCCAAGGGCTGGAGCACCTCTCCTATGAGGACAGGCTGGGAGAGTTGGGGCTGTTCAGCCTGGAGAAGAGAAGGCTCCGGGGAGACCTTATTGCGGCCTTCCAGTGCCTAATGGGGCTCCAGGAGAGCTGGGGAGGGACTTTTGACAAGGGCATGGAGTGATAGGATGAGGGGGAATGGCTTCAAACTGGAAGAGGGCAGATTTAGATGAGATATGAGGAATAAATTATTGACTGTGCAGGTGGTGAGCCCCTGGGGCAGGTTGCCCCGAGAAGCTGTGGCTGCCCCATCCCTGGAGGTGTTCAAGGCCAGGTTGGACGGGGCTTGGAGCAACCTGGGCTGGGGGGAGGTGGCCCTGCCCAGGGCAGGGGGGGGCACTGGATGGGCTTCAAGGTCCCTTTCAACCTAAACCATTCTATGATTTTTTTGTTTAGGTAAAGATGTACAGGTGCTACAGTCAACATGTTCTCAGATTAGGAAGACAACTGTTGCTCTCATTTTTTTATTATTATTCTTGCAGATTGTTTTTGGACACTAATCATCTTCATTTCAGAATGGATTAAGCTCTAGGATCATTTTCTTTCTCCACAGCTCTTCAACTTCAGACATGCCTTTTCTTTCCTCCTCCCTCTCCCACTTCCTTTCTGACAACTTTTAACATCTGCAATAACTCACATTTAAAACATTTTAGTAATAGTGTAAATGGCTTCTCACCCGTATGGTGTACTTGTTACCCACGAGAGAACCCCTGTCCACAGTTTTGCCATCGGAAGTCGTGGATTGGCGTCTGCAACTTGCTGCTTGGTTTGCATAGATGCCACTTAGGATGCTCACTCGTCTTTGGCTACCACAACTTGCTCCTGATCCTTGCCTTACCCTGAAACCAGCCGCAGAACTTCCGTTTGAATCAACAAATAGAAACAACCAAATACGATTACCAAATTATTTACGCCTTAACTTTCATGAATGGTTTAAAAGATTTAACCAATTCAGGATGAGAATCCTGAAATAGCACAATTCCTTCAGAAAAATCTCTGTTCAGCTTCTAAGGAGGCTTTCTTAAGCAGTGATAAGAGTGAGGTGGACAGGGCTGGGGGCAATGCCTGCTGTAAAATAAAAGCTTAAAAGACATTTTACTGGTGTTTGAGTTTCTGGGGCTAAACTTACAAACGGGAGCTGATATGGTGATAAAGGGGCAGGAGATGCAGCCTGGGGACGCTCGGATCCGGCACACCGGCGGGATCCCCCCCGACCCTGCACCTCCCTCCCTCCCTCCC